CAAACTCGCCTCCAACATCATTCTGTGATCTGCAATAGTTTTCTTCCTTTGTGTAGGCCCTATCTTTATCGGGATTCCAACAATTTGCTCAGGCTCTATCTGGCTGAGCGTACTTCGTGATCGCAGGAGCCAGAGCTTCGGTAGCGAATTAGAACCATGCACTACACAATTGTGATGCAGCGTTATTAATGTTAGCAAAGTATGATTGTGTCGATCCCTCGACACCAGGAGTAGCTTCAAGAGGTCATGGAGTTGTCATTCCTCACGGAGGGCAGTATTAGGGCATGAATTGTGTCTCATCATCACCTTCCATCTTGCTATGAACATGTGATGATCTGAGTTTTGAGAGAGATGATGTTGTGAGTGCTAGGCAGATTGAGATCTTCCGACACAAATCGGTGAGGATATCATCATTTGGCCAAATCCTTAAGAATTTGTTCACACGGTTGACCAACTCAGATTTTATGCCCTTGCACTCCCCTGGGAGACGAGACTAGTTGCTGGTGAATAATCTCTTCAATCCCAAAGCAGCTAACGCTCTCATTATGCCATAATCAACCTCAACTACGTAACTGAGACATCCTTCTAACAAACCCGCTTTGTCATTTGTTGAGGTATTTATGTTCTTTCTACGAGTCAGTATCGTCAAAGCAAAGGAACCAGCTGAAAATACTTTCTCATTTTTGAGTTTGCAGTTTAGCTGAATGTCACTAATGTAAGCATGCGTTTAATTATGGCACTTTTGCTGAGTTTGGTATGCTAGAAACACGATACACTGTTAATTACATACATGATGGGAAAAGACCAGAGACAAGCGATCCAGGTCTCGCCTGTCAAACCTCAGCAACCAAGGTGGAACCGAGTTACTGTCATCTGCCAAGACGGAAAACTGGACCAGTGGGCTCAAGCGCCAGTAATTAGGAAAAGACAATCGACAGCATGCAAGTGCTAGCAGGCAGACAAGCGTTCAAAGAAGGAGACTTGAGAACAATTATGATACACCTAACATCTAAGTGATGAACTGGAAGCCACACCCTCGTCACGTAGGTATGATAGCCCCGCGCTCACTCATTAGTGTCCTAAAGTGCAAGTTACTGGGTTGCTGAACCCGTCTGGACAATCAACTGTAGGTGACTGGAATTGCAAGCCTCAAATCTGATGTGTAAGTTATCCAAGCAGCGGTAAACGCCTTCTCCATAACAAATGTCCTCACTTGTGTTAGTCAAAGTCTAAATGATGGTTATGGCGTTCCATCTGTTGCGTTGACTAGCCACTCTTGATGTGGATGGAGTTTAATCTCCATGTTTTGTAACACAGTGGAAGTAGTTAATTCTCCAGCAATAGTGTGGACAATTCAGGATAACCAAATATGCCATATGGTTTCCGCACCTATTATCTTCCATACCTTTTTGTGATCTGAGCCAGCCTGCTCGGAGCAAAGCATGTAGTTCGGTCTGTAGACCATTGAGAGAGACGAGAGGAAAAAATAATTTGCAATAACATTTGAATAAATGTAAGGAAAACAAAAATTAAAATGTGATATAGCATGAAAAATATCTTAACAACTAAAGTTACATATTACATTATATTAGATTGTATCAGTTTATATTTAATAATAAAAAATTTAAATTTGTCACATTTAAGAATTCATGCAGTTTATGCTATTTAATTATAGTGTGATGTTGCTGATTTTATTAACAAAACAGAAGTAAACTCGAACACGTTAGATTTGATATGAACATACGCACAAATGTAAATTTAGAATGATTCGCCATCACAATGAACAAAAATAATTTTTTGTCATACAAAATACTACAATGTTCAAAAAAATATTTCTAACTTTACTTTACACCAGAGTTTGCATTAGACTTCAAACTTTATGCATGTCCAACCCACAACTGCGCGTGAGTCTACCGTACCCAACCATTATCCACAATGACTCTTATTACATATTCATTATCTACCCATTATTTATCCATGGCACCTTGTCAATAACCAACTCATGCCCATCAATCCATCACCAAAATAAAGTTACTTAATACTTACTTAAGTAACTTCATAGACTTGCATATTGGGCAGATTCGAGGCTGTAGAATTTGATAAGCAAGCTATTACTGAAGAAGTCTTCTTCTTCAGATCTTGGATCTAGGCCTGTACAAGTCAAGACATATTGCGTTCATAATCTACTATGTTTGGAATCTTTGAAAATCGAGAAATAATTGGTGTCTGGTTACTTGTGCGAAATGAAATGCATCGATTTAATTTCAATAGATTTCAATATAATGATTATGATTGAAGAGTTCCGACATAATTTCAAGAAGACGAGATATTTTGCACGTTGATGAGGATGAAAATCTAAGGATTGGGTTGTATATGCTAGAAAGCTTGCTGTAGACCACAATCTTCTACTTTCTTTTACTTCGATCAATGTATGAATTAGACTTTTCGGTAGGTTTATGACAAGTAATAGCTAATCAGCATAGTATTCAGATGAACTATTAATGTGACACAATTCAAAGTCATTTAACTCAGTCGTTAACGGCCTCAATCATATCCATGTATTACCCACGCATTCCTCGTACCCACCACTTTCCACTCATACGTTCTAGCCCATACCAAATATTTACCCATATATCCATGAATATGGGTGTATATGAACACTTATTGCACTAAACAACAATATGTAACACCTAATAAGTATCAAGTTACTTAATTTAAAATGTACATGAATTAACTAAGATAATTGTAATGATTTATTCACAATTAAATTAAAAAATTAAATTATAATAGTAAATGCACAAAATTGTTTTAACAAAGTTTCCAAAAAAATTCAAAAATTCAAAAATATATTAAATAAAAAAATATATTTTACAATATGATTTTTGTATGATATGTGAAATTTGAAATTTTCATAACTTATAAAAATCTAAAGATTTTTAACTTCATCTTAAAAAGTTTTGATAAAATCAGTGCTCTTGTGCAATTGATTGTATTTTAATTTTAATTCAAAGATTGTATATGCAATGAAAATAAATTAATGATGATGTTTGTTGCATTTTTTACAATATTTGCAAAAAGTGATTTAAAATTAGTTGTTGACATTTTCCAGGTTTGTGTTTTCAAAATGTTGCTAAATAATTTACGTAAATGATGTAAAAAAATTTTCACTAAAAATGGATGAAAAATCTGATGTATTTGATAAATTTTCAAAACATATTAGAATTTGTGTGAAGTTTCTAAAATTAGGTTACATGTATCTTAAAAAATCATAGTATAATTATTGATAAAATTGTGATGAACATGAAAATCTATTGTTGTGATTTTGGCGCAATCATTTTAAGTTTTGTAGATTTTATCTATAATTGATAAAGGAAAAAAGTTATACTTGTTAATTATAAATCTTTTAGTTGCAAGTTGATAATATGATTATGCTTATCATCTTGGTAGTTTAAGTTTTTTTTCTTATTCATGAAAATATTGACATTGATTTTCATAAATCTGAATGATTTATTTAAATATTTAATCTAATTAATCAACGATAATGCATTTGTTGAAGTGTGCTCCATGCAGAAAAATAGGAAGAAATCATTATATTTGAATTTTAATTATATTATTTATTTTTAAAAATAAATTTACTTCTATTTTACATCATTATTGGTAGGCCACTACTGAAATGTGTTGGAAACAAAGCAATAAAAATTTATTCTATTGAAAAAACAATTAAAAATATGTGAAATTAAAAAAATAAATTTTCAATTCAATAAAAAACCAAAGATTATTTTATCTAAAAATATAATATATCCTATTGTATAAATTTTTATCATATCATAAATTCATTGTAATGAAATTGTAATCAAACTTGATGCGTTTACTTTTAATCATTTGATATGCGTATTATGTGTAGTTTCACTGTAGATATATTCAATTGATCATAACAACTTGTCACCTTTTCAAAAATTCCATTAAATAAGGTATTTTTACAAGGATTTTCTATGCTTTTAGCACAAAACTAGAATATAAATATGAGATATATATGCTATGTGTATTATCAAAATTTTCATTGACATAGTAAAAACATAAATCCGCCATATTATTTCAAGATGATGGTTAAATGTTATATATATATATATATAGAGAGAGAGAGAGAATTGAATGTTTCTACTATTATGACATAAAAAATATATTTTGATCTGTTTTGACTTTTTGCAATTAAAGTGCATGAAGAATGTCATATATATATATATTTTCAACAAATATCATCATTATTACTTAGTGCAAAGGTTTGAACCAACAAGCTGCAAGTATAGTGAATGGAAGAATGTAGAGCTGTTTCCAAATGCATTTGATAAAATGTTGTAAGATAATTCCAATATTAGTGGGACGCACATTATTTTTGATACTTTAACACCTAGTTTGGGCTGCAATTTCGTTCATTAATGTGATGTATATTTCAGTATTTCGATGTTTCCCTAGAATCCCGTGTCCGGTAATTTGTCCATTAAGCTTCAAGATGGTGTGAAAAACTAAGCTTAAAAGTCAAATCTATGATATGTATTTGTTACATATGTGAAATGTAACAAGACATGAAATTATATTGCATTAACCTAGGCGGATGACTTCAGGCAGTACATGATTTAATATCACCTACTGTGATAATATGTCATGGTGATAGTCATGTTATTGTTGAGTTATCAACATTGGTATAATATGTTTCTAAATGAGAACATTCATTTGTTTTGAAAATACCAAAAATCAAAACACTCTTAAGCTTATTTTCGATGTTCATGCACATGATAGAAACAAGAATCTTGGCGCGTAAACTCTCCTGTAATTGGGTTTCAAATAACTAGAAACGAGGCTCGAAGGCAATGAACTTGTGGGAAACCGAAGCTTAAAAACCATCGGTCCGAGTATAACACGTGTTTACACAACGGAGTCCACGCCTCGACGACTACGGTCGTTGACCGGATTCTGCGACCTGTTTCTGAGTTCTTGTGGAGGGTTTTCACGAGAATTCTTCGAGCGGGACGTGAAGTTCTCGAAGAAAGTTGGCCTGCCGCAGTCTCGCAAATTTAACATCTGATCACAGACAAACAGAATTGGAACTGTGAGTTCTCCGGAGCTGATGGCATGAACCAATTACAGGTAATTGAGGAGATGAGCCTTAGTCTGCTGCGAGATGGTTGAGACATGCGTTGCAAGGGTAAACATCAAGCTCTGTGCGGATTCTAATGGGCGGAATGGCAAACTCTGCGGAAGAGCCTGTCGTGGACGTTCACAGGGAGAGCGAAGTTGCTCCTGAAAATGATTTGGAAGAGCACGAAGAGGAGGATGAGTACGTGATTCTGGATCTGGAAGAAGTATTTCATGGAGCAGCCCTGCCTGCGAATTGCGCTTACACACTCTCGGTGAAGATTTTTGCCACTCTGGTCAAGAGATTTTCATGTCAAGAGATCAGTTCTTTCTTCTAACATAACCTGACCAGGTTCTCAAAGATTAAGCTTTTGGCAATTGTCACTCAAGCTAAAAAACTGCATGAGATGACTGGCAAGAAATTGCAGTCGTCTGAGTAAATTGTTCATTTCCTTTTCGTCTAGGTGTAGCTTAGATTCCCAGAATTTACTTGTCTTTCCAATGAGCTTTGCACTCGTTTGTTTTACATGTCTTCCTGTCCAGTCTGAGTCCTCAGAAATATCTTGATTCTTGACTCCGGTTCCTGTTGGGTTTTGTAACAGGGGTTGGATACAATGAATCCTGTACTCACTCTTGGCGACGATCTCAAGTTGGTATGTTCTGCTCGCCTGTTTTGAAACTTGTTCTTGAGGCACCCTCACATCCATTTAGGCCAGTCCTTTGAATTCTGAAGACTGCTATTGTGTCGAATCTATGTGATCATTCGCAGGCCCTGCCTTAAACACTGAATATACCATTTCTTCAATTACTCCAGTCATCGAATCACATAACAAGGACTCGTGTTTGATCAACCCACAAGATGTTTTACCCAGGATATCTGCTTCTGGATTTTGGTCTTCACTCGCTTATATGTTATTCTTGTTCATCTTGTCTGTTGCTTCTACAACCAAACCTAGCTTCACAGTCCAGGTGAGATTGAACTGGTAGAGAAGTTGATAATTCCATCCTTGAAGTTCAGTCCAGATATGAACAAGTTTATGATTCTTCACTTATTTAAGTCAGAAATCGTCTCAACCTATGGAACCCAAATCTTCGTTTTTAATTAACCTTCAGAGACAAAGGTTCAACTTCTGTGTGTCAGAACTCTTCGAGGTTCTCAGTTTGTACGAGAGGTGAGTTTGGAAATATCGTTGCTTCCAGCTCCTAATGCTCGCAGATTGTTTTGTTGGTGTTGAGATGCTCTGATAGTTTGATTACATATCCCTCAGACCAGGAAAAAGATGACAGTATTTGCGGATATGTTAGACTGGAACACAACTTCGAGGATTCAGTGGAACCGGTGAACCATTTGGAAAGAAAGTGTCAAACTTTGATGGTTAAGAGTAAGAGAGTGCTGGATGCGGGGATCATCTTAAGCTATGTGCATAAATATAAAGCTCTCTTTTCAACACTGAATTAAGAGTTGCCTTGCTTAGCTGGATCTCTACGTTCGCTAAAAGATTTAGTTATATAACTGTGTATCCTTAGCTGTGCAGAGACAGAAGTTTTGCATCAAGTCTTGGAGAAAAAAATCCATTTTATCATTTTTCTCGCTCTCCTTAGTTGCATGTTAATGCAGATGCCTGGCAGATGAATATATCCCTGCAGTTTGTGGTTGGCAGATAGGAGAGTACGAGGAAACAATGGGAACAGTTCTCGTCTTCACAGAACGTGGTAAGATTACTCACCCATAGTACAGCGGAGCTCACCCGGTTTTTCGGTCCCTGTGAAGCATATGTGTACTCCTACTAATAATCCAGATTAACTCCAGATGAGGAAGTTCCTGAAGATGAAAGAATACGCGGAAGCAACTTGAAGGAAACTGGAACCAGGAAGAGAGTTTCCAGTCTTTGTCAGACACAAAGAAAATTGAAGTTTCGACTCATGGAGAGGAAAGAGAGCAAAGACTTGTCAGTACAAGAAAAACGGTCGAGAGTCTAGATAGCAAGCAGCATTCATTCAGTAATCAAACTTGCAGTTTAGGTGAAGCTTTAAAGGCAATATTTGCAGTGGACTGATTAGTTTGTATTGAGTGAGGTAAGTCCCAGTGTATGAATGAGAAGACCCGTTGTTTCAATCCTACGAAATGATCAAATGCCCACCCGATGGATGTTGGGTTAGTCAGGATCTCCAGGTTCTCTCTCTACTGAGTGGGGCGTTGTACCTTATGCAGGTAGAAGTACTTTGTGCAGGAATTTAGGTAGGGTTCGAGATAAATGTTGCATGAGAGACATGAGTGAAGGAAGACACATCAGGAGGTTAGTTCGTATCTGTAAATGACGAATGGTTGGCGAAGAGGCTGAGCACTTATTTCACTCAGTAAAGTTTTGGCCTAGATGAAGTTGGTGGTAAGTTTATCTGCACTTTTATGCCCTTTTCGTCCTGTCTATCTTTGATTTCTGAGTTCCCTTGTTTGCTATTCATTGTATGGGAGTCTGGGTTGTGTAATGATGTTTTTGGCAATATCCATTATCAAAAATTGTTCAAAAACATGTTTGAGTGTACACCTTCAATGTTTAGTTCTTTTTTATACTATCATCAAGCTTATCATTGAACATTACTTTGTGAGTGACGAAAGCGATTTTTTGAATTGCTGAAATCCTGTAGTGTTTTAGTTTTAAATTTCAGATTTTATATAATCATGAAATAGATTGAAGTTTATAATAATATCAGTTTGAAATAAAAATTCATGAATTTTTTTAGATACCTAAAAAATGCATACATTAAAATTGAAAGAATAGATTATAAGTATCATAGGGTTCTGAAATATGGAGTTAAATTTTGGCAAAACTATATAATATTTTAATTTATTTGAATTTCTTTGACATTATATACTACTGTTAAATAATTTAGAAAGTAAAATTTTACTTTCTAAACTGAGATCTTACGTATTGGTTCAATGTTATATCACATAGGCACAAAAAAATCTTTTTGATACAGTGAATTTAATTGTGTTCACTGTTTGAATACAATAATAGTTATAATTTTAAGATAGAGAGATAATTTAAATAGTAGTTAATTGTTCAAAATAAGCAATAACTATAGATACGATTCCACTTAATTTTTCTAAGTGGAAAAAAATAAATGATATATTGTGAATGAAATTGATCTATTGTTTTATAGCTTACTTCTTACATGAGTAGTAAATGAATTATCATATTGTCTACAGATATTTTCAATATCATCGAAAATTCAATTTTGAATAATGTTTTAAATTTATTATACATTTATGATATTACAAATGAATAATTAAAAATATAGTATTGAAATAAAAATTTCAACATGATGTGTTTTAATTACATTATATTTAAATCTGAAATTCATCTTTTCCAGACGGAATGAATTTTCAATTACTTTGTACATAGATGTTTTTCATTGAGATTTGTTGTTTAACAATGTACTATAAGTTTTTAAAAATTATTAATAAAGTTTTGAAACCATCTTAATTTTTCTTATGGTCATAACCTATAAAATAAAAACATTTTTATATTAACTTAAGTCAAAGTGAATCTGTTTAATAAATTTACGAAAGAGAGAATGCTCTTAAACTTTTTACAGTAAAGAAAATACAGTTATAAATTACAAATAATCAAATTTTCACAGCTTACTGCATGAAATCTGCTAGTAAAATTATAGAAATATGTTAATATTCTAATATTTATAATTTTTATTTGAGAAATTATCTTTCTGAAGTCAAGTTTTGAGTCAAATCTTGGGATTTTTTTCATGTAACAAATTAAAATAATAATAAAAAACATTAATTAGAATATTTTTTACAAAAATAAAATATTAGATAAAATCATATATATAAAATAAAAATAAATTCAATAATACAAAATTGTGAATATTAAATTTACAGTTAACAATGATAAGTAAATTTTGAAAAATGTACATATTTTTATTCAGTTGTAATATATATATAAAAATTTTCACACTAATGTGAAATATTTTATTGTGAGCTATATACATGTAATCAATTTAGAATTTTTTTTGTAATATTAAAATAAAAACAATAAAAAATTTATAACATCATGCAATAAAAACCTGGTCGATGAGTTACACAGTAGAAGGAGCGGGGAAGGTGCGCGTTATATATTAAGGGAAAAAGACATGGGCATACACAGGGCGAGCAAAACATGTGGGCAACGCGACGACCGCCCACCGGACCTGTGCGACCGGCATGGCCCCATGCGAAGTCTGGACCTCGAGCACATGCACGCGAGGGGGCCATCGACCACCATGAACCATGGCTGCCGTCACCGGCTCCGCCAGCTTCGCCCGAAAAGTGCACCCCGAAAGGAAAGGACGTGAGCGACTAGGAGTGCGGCTGACGTTGACCTCTTGAATACGCGCGCTTTGACCGCTCCGTGCGCCGGCGACCTCAACGGGCCGATGACGACGGCCCATTGGCGCTGCTGGCGCTCCTTCTGCTCCCTTTCTTTTCGGTTTCGAGCGCGCTGGCGCCTTCCGTTCTTCCCCTTCCCTTTCCTTGTCCTTCGTCCCGTCCTCTCCGTCGAATCGAAGGAAACGAAAGGCGCGGCGCGGCGAGGCGAGGAGGGCAGGGGCGGGAGGGAGAGCGCCGACAGCTGCTGCTGCTGCTGCTGCAGCCACGGAAGCTAAAGAAAGCGCAAGCGGAAGCCAAGGAAGGAAGGAACTGCAGGATTGCATTGTCCTGTGCTCTCTCTGCTCACTGGAGCGGGTTGCGGCTACTCCGCCTTCCTCTCTGCACTGCATTCTCTCCGACCTTTCGCTCGGCGCCTCGATTGATTGATTGATCGTTCGATCGATCGATCGATCTTCCGAGTTGGTGATCGGGGTTTGTTTTGTACCTGCGTCTTGATTGTCGATCTTGGAGCGTTGCTGAAGCTTCGGTCGGAGGATTGGATTGGATTGCATTGGTCTGAACAGGGCAGGGCAGGACAGGACAGGTGGCGGGATTGAGGAGCAGAATTTTAGAATTCGAGTGTGGGGTTTTTGGTTTTACGGTAGATTGGCGAGCTGTCCGTGGCGGCAGATTTCCGGCGTGGTGATGTGGCTTGAGTCTTTTGTGTCCGCAAGGTCGATGTCCTGGTGATCGAGCTCGGGTCTTGAGTCCAGTTGGTGACCGTGGTTCCAGTTCGGCGGCGTCCGTGTTTGTTTGGACGAATTTAGCGAGCAGATCGAAGGGAATTTTGGGACTGATTTATGGGGGGACGCGATTTTGTGAAAGTGTTTACTGGTGGTGTTGACAGAGATCTGTCCCGATTATCTGTGGAGCTTACTGGAGTGAGACGACCTAAGATGAAGCTGATAGTTTAGCTTATGTAGAGGCGAGTTTGGGGACAACTATGAGAGGCGAGAAAGCAAATTTTGAGGAATTCCTATGGTGTTATTCTCGACAAGGATTTACGGGTCGCCGAGAGGCGCATTTCAGCTCACAGAGAGGGCAGAGGTGAAGAAAATTGTGTGTTACCATGGCATTCGAAGGGAAAATGAGGAATTCAGTATGGATATTCCTGGTGTCTTTTGCAACGTTGATTTTGCGTGTCTCTGGCAGCAACTGCACGAGCAGCAGTTCTCTAGTTGGTCTCAAGACCGACTTTCTCATGGTGCAGCACCAGTTACGAGGCTCTCTGGAGATTTTAGACGACTGTACATTCAGGGTAAAACTCCACCAAATAAACAGTCTTCCTGTACTTTAAACCAGCGGGTGCACTCTCTACGCAGATGGTCAGATTCTCGCACAGATATTGCCCGGATCAAACACAGAAAAAAACACGATAATATAACGTCCAACTTGGACCGTTGTATCTACTCGACTTGAGTTCTTATGTTCTTATTGGGTAGTTGAAAGTGCTGGAAATATTGGTTCCAGATGTGTGTTAAGTATGCGGCATGCGGATTAACGAGAGAATTATTTGTTTGGTGCAGGTGACAAAATTCGATATGCTAGCTGGAACTGATGTTTACTGGTGGGGTTCACTTGGGGAAGATTTTGAGAACATGACGAACGGATTTCCTGTTTCCAATACGAAACTCAACCAAACGTACAGAAACGACACTCTTGAAGTGAGTCCATTTTACATTGCAGGAGGAAGGTTCGGTGATCAGTCAGTTAACCAATTTCCAGTAGTCGTCGAGGTCGAGATGAGAAAGCTTATGTGTTTCCATATCTGCATTTGTCCACAGAGATTTTTCATATCGCTGAATGAGTTTTCTTTTCGCACAATCTGACGTGAAACTATCGATCGATATTGACAGTGCTTGATATCTTCCACAGGTTACTTTACAGAAAAATTATACCTGGGAGGAGTTCAAAGTGCTGAGTGTTTGGGATAAACCTACAGGATCGGATTTTGGGCATGTTTTGCTTGAATACTACATTCCGGAGACGGTCGAATATGGTCCTCCACCTGAAAGTGGGTTCGATGGGGAACCGCCAGAGCCAGCACCAGCACCCGGTCCTGCCTCGGCTTGGGCTCCAAGTGCGAACGCGCCGTCGTACGCCGATGAACCAGCACTTGCGCCCCCTGAAGTGGTGCTGAGTGGTCAAAAGCAGCCAACTATGTTCGATAACTGTATCTCCCTTACATCCACATTCCGTTTGCGGTGGACTCTCAATACCGTGGCGGGAACTATAGACGTTGGGCTCGAAGCAGCTTTGTCGAAATCACAGTATATGGCTTTTGCTTGGGCTCAAACAGGCTTAAAAAAAGGCTTCATGTTGGGTGCGGATGCCGTGGTTGCTGGAATGGATGAGAAAGTAAGTAACGGGTTTACTCAGTACATCTCCACCTGTATTTTTGTGTATCGAATGTGAAGCCGTAATGTTACTCGTTTGTGCATGTTCCGCGGACACATTCCAAGTTCTGTTAGTGATATTGAGTTGATAGCCAATCAGCCAAATGCTGTTTCAGGGTTACGGAAGACTGTTTGGTTGTTTGTAGCGAATATATAGAAACTGTTCGGAGAAGTACTCGGTGTAGATATTGAGTGAGTTATACCTTCACATGTTCGTGTCGAATGTATTGTCGAATACTGACCGAAGGAGAGAGGGACTTATTTACTCATTTCATGCCTTTTTACTGTTTTCATGCCTATCCGCATCTCAATACTCTGCAGATACAATATTCCTGCTTATATGGCTCTCAAGCTCCTCGTGATCATCGTTTGATCACAATCATCTGTCTTGATAAAATCTAAACTTCAATTAAGTTGCTATAAAAGGAATGCCCTAATGTTATCTGCTCTGCCTCGCTATCTATTTTTCAGGGCTTGCCGTTTGCAGAGGATTATTATTTGGGTGATTACGCTGAGTGTAGCTGGGACACGAATAGTCCCTCTGGAGTTTGTCCTGATTCTATTTTTGCTGGGGGATACAACATGGGTGCCAATAATACGAAACTTGTATACGGGCAGGAAGTTGATGGTAAATTCTGCACAAAGATATCCTTTTTACTTCTTTCTCTTGTTTTATCTTTCCTTGCACTCCAGATTCCAGTTTGTCCATGCATTATTGCTTTCTTCAAGTGATGAGCGGAAGAGTTGACTATGGAGAAATTTCAATTGTACCAAGTGACACAGGTAGAAGTCTCGGGAAGGAAGATCTGACTGTTTTGCTTGTCACTACTATTAGGTATCACTCTCATTCGATACCAAAGGACGCTTCAGGGCGTGGATGCCACCTTCGATGTCACGATAAATACCACTAGCAGCATGCAGGTCATATGGGCGATGGGAATGATGAAACCACCAGATCTTATCAAGCACAATCGTACTCCACAAAATCATGGTCCTTCCTATGGTTACAGGAAGCTGAATGTGGGGGAGTCAGTTGATGAGTGTTTGGGTCCCATGGTCGCCAATACGCCCCAAACCGATGTTGTTGTTGCTGACAGAGGCACCACAATTGTGGTTGGGTCAGACGTGGCTGTGCATTACCCGAACCCACCGTTTCCCAAGAAAGTTCTGTACATCAACCAAAAAGAGTCTCCTCTACTTAGAGTTGAGAGAGGTGTTCCTGTCGACTTCTCAATTCAAGCAGGACATGATATTGCTTTCTATATCACATCGGACCCGCTTGGTGGAGCGACCAATGCCAGCGAGATCATTTATGCAGGAGGGCCTGAGGTCCATGGAGTGCCTGTTATACCGTATCCACTCACTTGGCTTCCGAATCGCAGCACTCCTGACTTGGTCTATTATCAGGTGCCAAGCTAACCCTACGGACTTTTTTTACTTCAGAGTGTCGGATTTAGCAGTTGCTTATTACTGTTTTCGTTTTTAACTGCAGGATTACTTTACACAGAAAAGAGGGTGGAAGATGGAGGTTGTGGATGGCGGTTTGTCAGACATGTATAACTCAAGTGCTCCTCTAGCTGACAATCGGGTACGGACCTCTCGTCGATGCTCTTTTGCTATAAGGCAGTCCTTATTGCTTCTGAGACTCCTTCAAAATTTGCAACAATTGCCCAAGGTTCCTTCAGGTTACGGTTTTTCTAATGTTGAAATGATATTTACCGTAAGCTGGTACTGACGTTAATTTCTTGACAAACAGGTCACTCTTTTCTGGACTGTGAATAGTAATCGTATCTACTTAGCTGTTCGTGGGGAGGTGAAGAGTGGATACTTAGCAATAGCTTTTGGGAGGTAAGTCTGCTCTACACGCGGAGCATGCTCCACCTTGTTTTGAGGGGCAGCGAGCTGAATTCCGCCTCAAATTTTTTAATGGTTCTGCATGTTTTACAAACTATTTTTTCAGGTTATCTGACTGTGTTTATTATTTTTTTAATCATTATTTGCAGTGGAATGGTAAACTCATTTTCCTACGTAGGGTGGGTTGATGACCAAGGAGTGGGCCACATAGAGGCGTACTGGATGGACGGAAAATCAGCATCCAGTATACATCCAACAGGAGAGGAGCTTTCAGACAAGAAATGCGAGACGAGAAATGGTATTGTTACCTTTGAGTTCAGCAGGCCCTTGCAACCATCGTGCAGTAAAGGCACGCTTTGTAAGAACGTGATTGATCCTGCTACGCCTCTCAAGGTTGTGTGGGCCCTTGGTGACGCATGGACTTCAGGCATGTTTATAACTCATTACTGTGAAGTCTGCTTTTTCAATTCTTATCCATGCTCTAGCGCCTGTTTCAAGGATAAACTAGAGTAAAAGTACTGGGTACGTCAACTACTGCAGATGGAGCGAGATGTCGTTGAATCTACTGAGAAGTATTCCATGGTTTAGAGTCGCATAGACAAGAACACATAGAATGGTCTGAAGTTTATTGAGGACTATGCTTGATCATCCGATGCTTGAAACTTATTTAGATGTGCTCATGTAACGTTCATACGTTGATTTCCTCCTGCAGATGAGCTTACGGATGGCAACATGCATACTGATTTCAGCAGCAGATCTACCCTGATTTCCTTTCTACTTGGTGCTGCAAAAGTGGAGCAGCTGCAGCCAGTGTTAGCTGTACGTTAACAGTTCTTAGTACTGGCATTGTTGGAATCTGAAAACGTCCGAAATTGTTTGCATGTTATAGAGTCCGTAGTCTGTCACGATGGCATTGAGTCTAGCTTGCAGATTGCTGCACAAACTTTTTCATGATTAGGTTACAACGCAGTTGTGACGGCTGCAAAGGCCACTGTTTAGCATATGAAACCTGTACCACACATTCCAAAGTTTCTGCATATTAGTAATTGCGTCACGAACCACCCTGACACTGTCGCTCAATGTGGATGCCTGTATCAGGTGCATGGGTTTATGATGTTTATTGCTTGGGGTTTGTTACTTCCCGGCGGGGTTTTAGGAGCAAGATATTTGAAGCATTTGGACAGCAACGGATGGTTTGAGTAAGTAACTCCCGTTTTTTGTTTACTTCAGTTGGTATTTTAAATATGTACTTAATGTATGCGGTAAGTTGGAAATGAATTCAAGACATGGGGTCCCATCTCCATCACTACCAGGTTCTTACCAACGTGGACCCAGGGAGTTCAAAGGGTTTTAATATGTGCCTGTTTATATTCTTATGTTGTTCTGGAGGTAGGAGTTAAGATTTCGGAAATTACAAAACAGTACGGTTTGTTTTGAAGACGTTCTCGAGGTTGATTGTGTTATTTAAATACAGGTTCCAAGTTAATATGTTTTTAGATCGTATATATTAGGGATAAGAGCTGAACCCTATGTGTTTGGTGAATGCAGAATTCATATGTATTCACAATTAAGTGCACTTGTGGTTATGCTACTTGGTCTCCTCTTTGCCGTTGCAGAGCTTCATGGGTATGCTTTTGCTTCATTTCTCAACCTCCGCTAAGAAATCATCGACCGATCATTACCAAATAGCTGCTTATCAACTTGTCTCACCGCTCGTGACTTTAAAGTTGTGATAGATATGCATCAATCTAGCAGACTAGTTGCCCTTCATAGCCTTATTTTAGTCTTTATTCTAGGGAGCAAGGTTCAGTTGTTCAATTGCTTGATGTTCGTGATCGGTGAGCCGTTGCAGGTTCAATACAAGAACAGCACATATGAAGGTGGGATTGGCAAGTATCATTTTAGCATGCTGGCAGGCCATCAACGGTTATTTGCGCCCATCGAAATCCGTGCCCGGGGAACCAGAACGAACTCAGAGAACCGTATGGCAATATGTGCACATGTAAGGTTTCATACCCTGAACTTAATACGCGCCTTGTGGAAATTTGTGTATTCTTGTTTTAACAAGTATTGTATGTATTCATATGGGATCGTCACCGACGAAGCCGGTGTTGTTTCTGTTTCCATTTCCTGTCTTCTCAGTATAATGAGCATCACTAGAAATTATGTAGAACATATTCGTACGATGTGTTCGCTCTGTATGTTTTTTACATATCAACAAAGCTTCTCGATAGCCATTGTGAGAGGTAGTTGTCAAATATTAAGAACTAGTTAATAAGTTACAAGTTACATCCGCAAGTGATCAATGAAAAATTGTTTTGCCCTGTGATTATTGATGTAGGTAGATTCATGGGTTTATGTGTGTAGGTACACTGGTCGCTCAGCACTGTTACTTGGGTTCATATCTCTCGTAACAGGAATTTCACAGCTAGCAGAGAGAGATGGTGTGGGAACTATGAAACCGCTCCAGTGGGCTCTTTTTGCGTGGTTTTTTGCCGTTGCAGCCATTGTTGGCTACGTCGAGTTTCAAGGGTTTTGCAGCAAGTAAGTCATTGACAAGTGATTGTATATAGATGACTTGGCTGGATAGAGCTAGAAGGGTTTCTTGGTTAACATATTTGCTGCTTGTTCGCCTCAAAAGCTATTATCGAGGTAAAAATGCTGGATAAAAGCTGCTGCTCATCAGTTTGTGCCTTTAGGTTTATTATGTCCAGGCATTCAACTCTTTTATACGGTCGGACTCTAGTAGTTTTATGCGGTTATGACATTCGTTTAGCTAAACTTTTTTTGCTCGTTGATCTTACTCAATGGCAGGAGGCATCAAGATACAGTGGTGTTTGATAGAATACTTGGAAGTGAAGAGGACGTACAAGATCTATCGCCCCACAATGGGTCCTCATTTTTCTCGAGAGATTCAAAAGACAGTCATCCTTCTCCAGCTCGGGGTATGGAAATCCAGCTGGAAGCGTTACATTAACTCTTACTTTTTCCCTTCACCCTTTCAGCTTTCAGCTTCCTTATCATGTATCGGGTGCGGTCCAATTCACACCTCTTGGTTTTGACAAAAGCTGAGATCACTAGGAGATTACCGAGCTATCTTGACGAGTAGCTTCTCACAAACTTATTCATTTAGGCGGACGTTCAAAGATGTCCAAGGCAACACACTTGCCGATGTAGAACAGATCAAGTAACCCACAGAATACATCTCCAAGAATGTGGAGAGTTTCTTTACGAGGGTGTACATACCTCACTCGTAGATTGTACCTTCTCTCAAGGGTAGTCTGAATTTGTAGAGAAGACCAATATCAACGCACTCTAAAGAGGTTTGTTCCTGAAGAGTAGTTCGAACTTCTTGTTACCTGAAATTCGCGTCTTATCCAAGCTAGCAATAGCCGTGTGATTAGATTTTCTATTGAAAGCTAACAAAAGTGGATAGTCAGTGATGAATATTAGATTCATTCTATATTGATTGTCTTCGGTACTTATGACCTCGAATAAAGAAGTGGGACCCAAGAAGACGTACTTTGCTTATTCGGTTCAGTTGGTCCTTAGTTTTCATGACTAAACGAAGTCTTCTGATCTCAACCTCGAATATGCATGCTCTTTGCGAAGACTGATGATTCAGGAATTTTAGTATTTTGAGTTGTAGCGTAGTAGCGCCGAACTATGATGTGTCCCATATTTGTCCAAGATGAATCTCTTCGACTCAAAAGCCAAGGCTGCTAAATTTTTACGAGGTGTGTGTATCTATTGAGATATTTAGGTCTGCTATTTCAACATCCTCTGTCAGGTGGGTTGAAGATAGTGTCGTGAAAGAATGTGCAAACTTATAGTTCCACAAAGTCAACCATGTTCTTGCGATTTTTCCCAAGAATTCATCATTCAGTCAAACCGTGTAACGTTGAAATTGCCAGATTTAGTTCTACTTCTATTGTCCAAAATGACATTTTGTAGCCATTAACAAATATTCGTAAGATTACAACTTCCCTCACCGCTTGAGTGCAAAGGCACATCTCCACGCTGAATTCCGGATGAATGAATGGCTTTTTGCTTTAGATTATATAACAATTCAGCATTAGATGATTTACTGGTTAAGCTTCATTACTTGACTTGCAGGGTCAAACAGAGTTTTTTGTTAACATGAACGGGTGCAACTGAACCAAATAAAAGTGAACTCACCAACCAATCGAACTCACACAAAAATGAAGTGTTCCGTAAGCTATTGACCATTGGGACGTCTTCCTGACTTTGTAAAAAACATCATCTTTCCTTAAGAATATTCGACACATGCACTCTCATCCTCCTGGAAGAAAAAGCTTTTATGATTCAGTGTTGTGTCTTCTATTTGCAAAGAGTAGCGCAGTTTTGATGGTTATTGCTAATTCCTTATGAATGTACTCCGAATCAAGCTATCTTCAAATGAAATATGTTCTCATTTGAAACATGGAAAATTGCTTCCATAACACGCTATGCAGAATCCGAGAATAAGTTAAGATTTTGAAACTAGGTAAATGGAATTCAGCGGGCTTGTAAAATTTCAGAGTAGTTGAAAGTTTTGGTTATGTGCAGACGTAAAAGACGACACTTTCAAAACCGCAAATCGCCTTCATAAAAGTAGAATTGTGGATGTTTTTAAATCAGGCGGCCAATTTTTCGGATAACATGGAAAGCCACAGTAGTCATGCAAGATCCGAAACCTTAGATTGAGCATAATATCATAATAACAATCACCTCGCCATCAATGATAGGAATCCTACATCTAATTTAGTGCGTTGGATATTCCCACTCTAAACAGAGTATGCAGTGTTCGCACATTTCTAAAAGGTATTGTCCCCTTTGAGGGTTGTAGTTAGTAGACGATGTAAGTTATTAGAAGTCTAACAACTTACGTTTGATAGCTGTTGGCAATAAATAAATAAATAAATATATATAACTATATAACATCTGATTTCTTATCATCTAACTAATTGTTCGGTTGTAGAATATTCATGGATATATTAGAATGATGTAATTTCTTTCTTATACATCCATGAATAGTTTATAATTGACCAATTAATTACGTAATACGAAATCAGATGTTCTTTTACAATATCTAAAGGTAGATTGTTATGATATCACAGGTGCTGTAAGAAAAGTATAAAAAATAAAATCATTTCCTAAGAATTCGGGGTGGAATTCCTACCTTATTTCAGTTTGTGTTAGTATTATCATGAATACCGAACTAAAACAAGGAGTCAGTTATAAAAAAACATGAGCAATAAGTTGTCTATTGAAGTGGTAGATGATTTGAGCAATATAAATAGAACTAACTAAAGAAAAAAAACTTAAATTACTCACAATATTTTCAAATGTTTCAACAACTTTTGATGAGATTGTGATATAAATTTAATGTGTACGTTTTATTGTGTTTTGATATGTGAACATATCATTCTCGAATTCTGTAGTCATGCGTGATAACAAGCAAATGATACTTTACTTCATCTATGGTCAATATGGAAGTTTTCACCACTTGAGTATACAACCTCTATGGATTGAGATGGACTTGCTAATCATCCCATCTTTGTTAAGGCCATGATTTCGTACTGGCTTCAGAAAATATGAGCCTTAAGCTGAGTGTGAACTCATTAATAGTTCTATTAATCACATGTGACAAAAAGTGTGACAATAGCTCGAAATGAAAGATGTTTAAGCAAGCAACTAGTAAATGTCACTAATAAAATCCAGACTTAAATTAAATTAAGTTTGTCGAAAATATTTTTTAGTTTTTGTTTGTCTCACAAATGTACTTAGTCTAAGGTTGAGCAATAACGGAGGCAGTTCTAAACGGCATCAAAACGTATCTGTAGGAGGCGCTGTTGTTAAAGCAAGAAATAACTGCTTATGTTCTTCCTGTAGAAGATTTCAACCAATTTTATTTATCAGTGCATTTTAGCAAGACTGAGGTGTAAGTTTCTTTCACTGAGAACGATTGCATTTGAGATTTTGCGTGGTGTATCCATCTGTTCATGAATCATAATCATTGTCAACATTAGGAAATATATCCGAAAATTTATCACGACGCAAGTTTAAATAACAAACTGACTAAGCTATAGATAAAAGTAACAAGTTTCCACATTTCTATATTTTGTAAATTTAATTCATTTGTTACACATCAGCATATTGAATATGTGTAATATGGAGTATATGTATTAGTTATAAATCGTTGTGAAATATTGTCAATATTACTGTTTTTCATTCCATATGAATGAGTTAATGTCTTTGTGGAGAATATAGCCCAACTCAATTTCATCATTAATAATTGATCTTTAGTTTATTGAATGAACAACTAAGCATATGAAACACGGCTCATGTAATGATTATTCTAGTAAGAAAATGATCAGATATAAAATTATATACAATCAATAGAATCAATTGTGCAATTAGATCTACATTTGATGTCCACAATTGTTGACATAACTAATGCTAAGTAAATATAATTTGAATTAGAGCGAGTAAGATTTTCATTCCAAATGTTTAAACTTAATGAATGACAATAGGATGGAAAGTAGCTAGAGTAAAACCCATAAATTTTTAATGTTTTAAATTGATGCTACTAAATATTTACATTTTATGCTTTAGTGATAATCATGAATTTTGGTAAAAATTAAATGTTAAATTTTATTCAATATGATGATTGATATGATAACAGTATATACTGTGATGTAATAAATATGTGAATAAAAGATGTCGTAATCAAATAATGAAGATGCACATAATTTCAGAGAAAGTAAAATCATTAATGTATGGAAGGAAGAGGCTAAAAATTTGAAAGCGTTAAGCTAAGATTTAGTGTGATAATAATTGATGATATTGATTATGAAAAAAAGAAGATTATGTTGAAAATAATAAATATTTGTTCTAATTCTTGGTTAAAAGTGAATCTACCAAAACCTTTTATTAACATCAAACGTTGGAGAATTATGCACTTCTATGTCTCGCATACATCTCATTCTTGAGACTATACTAATAGTTAAAATATACTTAATGACACAATAAATATAAAGAATTTTGTGTCAGTGATTGATATATGTATTATCAATCAGTGCTAATACAAAAACCACTCCAAAATAAAGATGTACAATTGTCTTCAAATCTCTAATGAACACTTGAATATCACTAGAGACACCAACGTAATAGTAGTAGCAAGTAGATGTATGGAACAGATTGATTACAACAAAGATTATTATTTTCATGAGAACATTAAAATATCGATATTGACATGGTGAAAACATTACTTGAAGTGATACCTGACTAACAAAAAATGGTTTATTGAGATCCATCAACTATCATTTTATCACATGGTACCCATAGTCAACACAAATTACACATGTTTAAATTCGATCTACGGTGATTTTCAAAATAAAATGTGGTGTTTAGAGGGTGGGCATCGAGGAGTAACGAGCGGAGCGGATGAGGGGATGCCCGCGGGTGGTTACGTTTAGAGCGCGACGTGTTGCGGCGCCATTGAACGTAACATTGAACGAATTGTTTTTAAATGAATTTCTATTGTCAAAGACTTGTAGTGACACAGCAACTAATGTAGTTATGAAACAATGTATAACTACAAATTTCCTTCACATCCAGTACACTATTTTCTTGTCAATACATTTCAAAGTGGCAAATGAACTTGATAGTTTTGTCAGCAGAAAACAGATCTTGATTTGTGGTTGTTGTTTTGCTTGAAGATTTTGTGTCAATAATGTTGATGTAGGCAAGAATGTCTTACTCGCTTCATGACTACAACTATTCCATTTTACTCTGCAAGATGGATTCTGCATCCGAAAGTCTAGAATAGAAGTTGATTGCATTTTGTTGATTTGGTTTTCATGTTACCTTGTTTTTTATAACTATTTTATGAATTGGATATTGAAACAATATAGATGTTGAAAAGAGCTTCGTATCATTTTTGTAAGAGTTTTTCTACGTTATAAAATCAAGTAGTTTACAACTACATCACTTATCAAAGATTAAACATAAAGAAGCCGAACATATCCTAAATGTGACATTGGGGCAACTATGATATATTGGACCTAAGTCTCACTTTCATACATTGGAAATGACAAGATGATAGTGTGATACCTCCTCCCAAACTATATCCTGATAAGGGACGTAATTCCTCCATATTAGATCCCTGGGCCTATAGTTACAGGAACTTTGTGTAGAATTTGATGACGATTTGCAATAGGTGAAGTCTCATCGTACAAAATAATACGTGATGGATACAGTAAGCTATTTGTGTTATGCAAGGGTCTCATAAATCTCTTACATTTTAGAATAGCCAATATTTGGTTATAAGAGAAAAACCAACAATTCAATGTTCCATTGGAAGTAGAGAAGAGAAGAAAAATAACAACGTATGAACAGTACTCTCTACGTACAAAAATCTATGTCATAGACGCAATATAATTCGTATTTCTTTGCCATGATGTTATGTATTTCAAGAATTATATTCATAATATTTTTGAACTAAACTAAACCCAAGAAATGATAAATGATCACTTTCTAGGTCCACTGCGTTTTAATACTTAAATATGTGTTTCGCTGAAATGGAATCTGTAATATCATTTAACTTCAAATTTGATCATTTGTTGCATTCTTGAACCTCGATGTATTGCTGCAAAGCTAGACCTCGGAAGATGCAGTTTGAGCCAAAACATCTTTAAGTCTCAAGTTCAGTATGATACTGCATTGCATCTCGTGATACTGAAATAGTCCGAAGTCGTCACTGTTCGTTGTCAATTTTTTGTATGTTTTGAACATGAAGTATACCTTAAAAAATTGTCAACATCTTGGACATTTCAGAGTCCTACTTTTAGAACCTATAACTACACACAACATTTTCTACTCAACCACCAAGTTAGATGGGAGATATCAAAAGTTTTCAACTTTCACAAGAGTAGAAATCGAAGTATTTTGATGTTTCTGTCAAACATGCCGAACCTATCAAATCACTCGCAATGAAGAGAACGAGACAACTTCTAACATTTTGACTCCTTGCTTAAGGACACAACAAAAGTAGCTTTTGGTCTCTGTGCACCGCGAACAACGACTTCGCAATGATTTAAACTGTCTGAAAAAACAATCAAACTTTAGTGACGCTTGGAGTATTCCTTACATATTTACTCAACTTATAGAGTTCTTTGGAAATTATTTGAGAAAAATATACATAAATATAAAATACCACCAATAAAAACTGAAGTATTATTACATTACTTAGATATTTGGAAGTTATTGAGGAAAATAAAAGAGATCTCTACTAAACTACTTATGTTACGTATTTTGCTTTGATGTTTTTTGTGTATTAATACGGTACATACATAAGATTCCCTATATAGAGATATAAAGAGTACTGCCTATGAAAATAACAATAACCTTGTTAGTGAAGAATATATTATAAGAGCGACTGCAACATAGCATAGGAGATTTTTTTAAGAATGAGGAGAGAGTCAATGCAGTTGAATTCAGATACAACGATGAGTAGCATTCCTCACCATCTTAACCGCATGTAACGCACTCGTGCAGCGTGGACGAAGAGTGAGGGAGTCAGTCGTCGGACAGAGTCATGACAGATGGACCACGCTGCTTAGGGTTGGACGGAATCTGCTCCCGTTGCCCGAAATACAAGCGACCGGGCTTTGACTCGTCGAGGATCAAAGGACGAGCAACCTTCACTTCACTGGAGCAACTCTCCGATCGATCGAGCGAGATTGGCAACCACGTGCGAGACACCGAAGCGAGCTCGTACATCATGCGATATCACTCGCGCTCGGTCTGAATTGTCTCGCCGGATAGATAAGGATCGAATAATGCTCGCACAGAGGATCGGATCATCGATTACTTAGAAGAAAAGGCAAGCGAAATTGCGAAATTGCGAAATTGTGATTTTCCGCAAGAGCGAGATGGCTCGATTTGCTTGAGCTCGCTCGCTCGAAACGCGAGGCTTCAAACTCACGTCATCGGCGGGCGGCGGTTCATGCCGTTTCCCTCTTGTCCCGCTCGCCGATCTGTGGCTGAGTTGTTGCTTGCTTAGCGCTCCAAGCGTTTCTGAGATGGAAGGCGCGGGTTGAGTGTACGGTGGCGCTCGTCCACGCTTCTCCTCGAGGCGCAAACTCAAATCTCGGTGGATTCGGGCTCACGCCAGACGGAGCAGCGTTGGCGGTCTGGCTCTTCCCCTAAGCAAGCTGGCCGGCTGGCTGGGCACTGGATCGCTCGCTTGCTCGCTCGCGGGGAAGAGAGAGGCTTCTGAGGCTCGAGTGCTCGTCACGCTAGCCCGTCGGCCGCTCCTTATAAATGGAGCGCGAGAAATATTCGTGGCTGGAGAGAGGTCGATGGAGTGGAACTCGAAGACAAGTCGATTGGACGTTCTGAGGGAGGGCTGACTGCTGTCGGGCCATTTTGTCCGCTATGGTTCTGGTAAGTCGCTGGTTTTAGCTCTATGAAGTTGGTTCTTGCGCACGATTCTGGGCCTAGCTGCGCTTTTTATGTCGCCGGCGCCCCGATCGAATGTCGATGATAAGCTCCGCAGCAGCACGGCGATGTGCGTTTGGTGGGTCGCTGGACGGGAGGCGCTGCGGAAACAAGGTCGGGTCGGACTGACAAGGAAGAGCTCCGCGTTAGGGATTGGGCGCTGGCTTCTGCTGCTGTACAGAGAAATCGTGAGCTGCGTGCCTTAGAAGAAGAAGAAGAGGATCGAGAGATCGGAAGGGAAGGGAGCATGGCTCGAGGAGAGAGCGAGGCGAGAGAGGCGAGCTCGGGGACAGGGAAGGAGCTGATGGACGAGTTCCGCGCGGCGCTAAGGAGTCCCGCGAGCCTGCAGAGCTTCGTGGCGAGGGGGGCGGACCCCGAGCGCGCGCCGGTGCAGGTCTGGCGCAAGGCGCTGCTCTGGGCCTGCGCCGCGGGGCAGGAGGATTTCGTGGCGGAGTTTCTGAACAGCTCGCCGTTCCAGAGCCTGGTGCACACGGCGCGCGACGCGGACGAGTACACGGCGCTGCACCGGGCGGTGGTGGGCGGGCACCTGGGGGTGGCGCGGCTGCTGTCGCGCATCGCCTACTACCCGTTCCCGGTGCTGCACGCGCGGACGAAGGGCGGGTGGACGGCGCTGCATCTGGCGGTCTGCGCCAACGACGTGCAGATGGTGGACCTGCTGCTCAAGTGGTACGAGGGCATCGACCTGCCGCCCCGGTGCCTCTGGGACTTCCGCGACGACGCCTGGATGACGCCGTTGCAGTACGGCGTCATCCAGGAGTCCCAGAATCGTGCGCCGGCTGGCGAGCTCAGCAACCCGCCCAGAGTCGTGCGCCTGCTGGCGCGCTCCGAGGCCTTCCGCGTGCACCTAAACGCCGTCGACTACTTCCGGCGCTCGGCGCTGCACATGGCCTGCGCGCACAAGAGCGCGGCCGTGGAAGAGCTGCTGGACGTGCCGGCCGTCGACTCCAACGCCGTCGACTGCTGCGCCTACACGCCGCTGCACTGGGCCGTGCTGGCCGGTGCGACGGACGCGGTGCGCGCCTTCACCCGTCGCGCGACGGATCGCACCATCCGCACCACGGAGGAGGACGTCGAGGGTCGCCCCGTGCTGCAGATCGCCATCGAGAACCGCGAAATCGACCACAAGGTCGGGCGCGACCTGCAGAAGCTGCTACTGACGGTGCCCGAGGTGAAGGACGAGGTCGAGCGCCTCTACCGCGACCGTCAGGTGTTCGTCGACGCGGCCAACGCCATTCTCGTCGGCGCGGCGCTCATCGCCAGCGTGACGTTCGGCGGCTGGCTCCAGCCCCCGCACGGCGACGACGCGGAGGTGCGCATCTTCTGGGCCTTCAACAGCCTCTCCTTCTTCTTCGCGCTGGCCACCGTCATGGCCGGCGCCGGCACCGTGCTGCCCATGTCCGACGTGTACATCGGCAACACCGTGACGAGCATTCGGCGCTGGCTGGCGCTCACCTCCTTCCTGCTCCTCGTCTCGGTCGTGCTCGTGCTCGGGGCCTTCGCCGCCGCCGGCTTCGCGTCGCTCCCGGGAATCCCCCTGCTGCGCGGCAACATGGTGGCCACCACCGCCGTCGGCACCGTCGTCTGTGGCGTGATCGGGCTCCTGTTTCTGAGGCGCCTGTCGAGAATCCTCGACAGGCGCCTGCAGGAATACGTCGACGATTTCAAGCTGCTCTTCGCTGGCCTGTTGCCGACCATGGCCTCGCCCCGCAGGCGCAGCATGGTGGAGGTGAACGCGCTGCTGAACAAGAGCCGGGCGGGTATCATCAACTCCGCGGGCGCCGATTTTCCTCGCAGGATCGAGGGCAGCTATCACTTGGCGAATGTGGTTCTCTCGTTCGACGATGCCTGCGAACGAGAGGCCAGTCTCAAGGCGAGAGGCCAGTCTCAAGGCCAGTCTCAAGGCGTTTCAAGGCGGCAAGGCGTTTCTTCTCGTCATGAACCGGTGGACGAGTCGGAAGAACTGCCCGTCATGAAGCGGATGAAAGTGTTCGAGCAGGCGTATCAGGAGGTCAGGAGTGGACTGAACGAGGAGGAAGCGACTCTCAACATGTTGACTCTGACCGACCTCTGTGATGAATCGAATGACAATCACAATGGATTGCACTTTTGGAGCGACTTTGCTCCGGTGCACTGCCGTAAGCGCGCGCGTAAGAAGGACCTGGAGCTGTGGGGTGCCATCCAAACAGGAATTCACGACAAGAAGATGCACCTCGAAGAGGAGAACACGAAGTTTTATTATACAGTCGGGTCTTTCGACGACTGGAACCTGTAAACTTGCTCCTCAGAGCATTGGACATTCTGTTTTTCTTCCTTGCGAGATGCGGCAAAAACTCTTTTTGACGGACGGACGATTCCGTTCACTTCCACTTAACTTCGGCCGAGCAAATTTTCCCCACCATCCTGAGTAGCAGCCCGTGTTTTGTGATCATATTCATTGTCGACAATCATGTCTGGCCTTCCACCGCTACACGACGAGTTTATCTTTCGATTGGGGAGGGAGCAGCTGGACTTTTTATACGGCCTTTCGACTCTGAAGGACGAGGCCAAGCATCAGGGAACAAGTAAAGGCTGTGGACTCGGATAAAACCCAAATTCATAATTTCTTGAAAAGAACATGGTCAAAAAGATGAAACAATATCGTGACAACCGAAAAGAAAGTCGAGTTTCCAAGTTGCAGAAGCTTACAAGGCACCTTACACGAGAAAATCCCAAGTAAGCCGAGAGAAGCCAACCTCTTGCTACGCAAAGCCTACAACTTCAGCAAACGGAGGATCAAGCGTACATTGAGCGCTGAGCTAAGCACATTCGAAGTGACTCCGACGGCTAAACGGTCGCCGCTCTCTCTTTTCGTGAAGTCCGGGTGCAGAAGTGCAACGAGATCCAGTAGTAGGTTTGTTAGCTGATAGGATTCCCATTTGGCGTTCAGACGATCTCCTCTAGAGAACAAACTTCTCAACATCAGTGCTCTCGAATCAAATCCACTTGTTTGACTATTGAACGACTATTGTCGAGGAGAAACCCACAAGGGACTTGGGAGCCGAGAAAGTACACACACACACACACAGATATACACACATGTAGACACGCGTGCAATGAGTACGAACAAACCTTGACTGAAGCAGCTTTTGGAAACAATTTTGCCCGTGCAATAAATGTATAAAATGTCTCATGCCCCATGGAGCAGGGTTTACTGATGAATGCTTGACTGTACATATGTATGATCAGAAGCTCATTCCTGTGATTGCTGTCCTCCGGTGGGTAGACCTCGGTCACCGCGTACCAATTCTGAGTAAGCGCTATCTGACACTACCCACGACGCGCTGAGGAGAACTTCGAATACATTTGAAGAGAAGTACAAATCGACTCCGGGAGAAAGCTCAGAGTCGACAGAAAGTAAGTTCGTGTACAAGGGGTGGCTACTCTGCCACCTCTCAAAAATGATGGAAATCAATGACGACCAGGGAACGCCGCCGCTACGGAGCAAGCAAGCAAGGCGGCCGAGTTGAGCGAGCTGTACAGACTCCCCGATCGAGCTCAACTCGCGAATTCGGACCAAGGCTGCGGATCTTAGAAATCAGGCCGAGAGATCGATGGCTTTGAGCCCCAGGTCGCCGGGAGGGCGCGGGTTGATGAAGCGCAGGGTCATCTCGTAGGCCGAGAAGATGGCGCCGTTGACGAGGTAGGCGCGCGTGACGGCCGTGCCGAGGCCGCGCCAGAGCACCGTCAGGCCCTCCTCCTCGACGCTGCGACGCAGGCAGTGTGCGATGCCGGTGTAGCGCAGGGGCCCGCCGCCGGGGAGCTGGCCCTGCAGGCGCGACTTGACCACGTCCAGTGGGTAGCAGAAGACCCAGCTCAGGGCGCCGGCCAGGCCGCCGGCCGTGAGCATGGTCAGGAGCGACTCGTCGCCGTTGCGCCGGCAGCCCGGATGCAGGCACTCGCGCGCGTACTCGTACGTGCCGAAGTAGACGGCGTGGCTCGGCGCGTCGCGCAGTACGGTGATGGTCAAGCCGCGGTAGAGCCCGCGCACGCCCTCGCGGCGCAGAATGCCGCGCACCACGTCCAGCGGCCCCACGACGGCGCGGACCGCGCGCGCCGTCGACACTCGGTCCGTCAGCAGCTGCAGCCGGATCTTGATCAGATCCACCGGGCTCAGGATCAGCGTCTGGATCGTCCCCGCGCACACTCCCGCCACCGCCACGTTCTTGTACGAGAGCGTGTGCCTGTCGTCCTCGCGCCGCTGCAGCGCTCTCGATACAACGGCGTACGTTTGGAACGAGACCGCGTTCTGCGTCACAAGCGCCACGGGTGCGTACCGTTAGCCGAGGGCTTGCGCCACGGATTCCCGGCCCTTCCGGTCACGGATTCAAGGCCGATCCTGCACGAGAGAGTTTCTGGGATTCTAGAGATTGGGGTTTTCGAGGGAGGGAGGGAAGGAGTGTCACCTGGAAGGCGATGGTGGCCACGGGAGATGACATGCCCTTGAACAGAGCGAGGGCTCCTTCTTTCGCCACAATTTGACGGAGCAGGGCCGTGGCCTTGATGGGCGCGACGCTCGGATTGGTTCGAGGTTGTTGCAGGCGGATGCGCAGAGTGTCCAGAGGATGCCCGGCGATGACTCCGGCGATTCCTCCCACGCCCCCAGCGATGAATTCTCGCCCGGATGTGCCCGCGAGGAACTCCGGCCAGAACTCCATGACCCCTAACAGCTGCCGCTCGTTTTCCGTGGATCGATTCGCTTCAATTCAATTCAATTCAATTCAATTCAATTCAATTCGATTCGATTCGATTCGATTCAAGTCCTCGTGCCCAGCATGCAGAGACCACCGGTTTCGATCGAGAGCAACACCCCCAGGCTCCTCCTCCGCCTCCTCAAAGAATTTCTCAAGCTGATGGCAACATGGCGGAAACACAAATTACGCATTTCCACGACCTTCCAAAGAACGGCCCGTAAGAATCCGGCTGCCGCCACTCTTGCGCAGGATCGCGCACTCACCGCTCCATGGCCGAGCCGCGAATCGCCATCAGCTGCTGCATTTTGTGATTTTCAAATTCCCCCAGCAATCCTCGACTCCGTCACTGCCCCCGCTCCTCCTGCCACCCCTCGCGCCCTTCACACACCTGACGACTCCTCTCGGCCCGTCTCTCGAGCATAATCTCTTCTCACTCACTCACCAACTCCTGATCACCTCCACAACAAATCTTGGTATCGACGAATTCGCAACAATTGAACCCCTTCCGTGCAACCTTTCCTCTCATCCACCCCTCCCTCCTCCACTGAATCTATCACTCTCTTGAAATCGATGCCCCGGGTTCCGAAGCGCAGACTGAGACAGGTGCGCAGCGCACGTGAGAATAAGGTCTCGCGAGTCCTGAGAGATGCCGCAGCACCGTCCACTTTTAGGCCCGAGCCCGCAGAGCCCGAGAGTAGAGTAGAGGCTGATGGCCGTCTAGCATCACCGATAGGTAAGCAAGCTGCGCCACCATATGACTGGCCAGAGGCGCTAGATGGTGGTTCTATATTCCAGGTATGCATTCATTCCACGTGCGACGAGCGCAGTGACAGCCTCGTTCCAGATTTGGACACTGCTGTGTGCCATGTCAGGAGCTCGGAACGCGACTTCGAGGGAGCGACGAGCGAGTTCATTGGAAGGTACTCCTGGGGCTCTAGCTTCACCGTTTCACAGACAGAGCACACTTGTCCACTTCCCTCCACCTCCCTCCACCATTATGATTACACTGCCTGTTCGATCGGCCTGCGGTGCTGCTCCATTCAACCGAGCCCCAAAAACTCGGCCCACAGTTTCGTCCCCGGCATTTCTCTGTCCGAGTGTTCATCCGACACCTCCACCCGTCGAGCGACAGACTGTGCAGGAAGGAAGGAGGCGGCTCAATGTCGTGAGCAATCTCGCACTCTCTCCATGACCCTTCGTTATCAGATTGACTGCCATTTATACCATGCTTCATTCGGCGGGTTTGACGGCATTTTGAGTGTAGGTTCCGTGGGCAACTCGGCAACTTGGATCCATAGTTGTCGTGACCGAGGCCAGATTACTCGCTCCATTAAAATGGACGGAGGCAAAAGGGCACCCTCCGTGTTAAAGTGACACAGTCCGTGAAGAGCGTCGACCAGCTCCAGTCGTACCCTGTCCAAAGCCGTTGCAGGACAGTCCTGTCCATGCGAGAAGATTTGATTCCGCTCTCATGATCCCGTCATTCCTTTCTTGGCCAAATTCTCGAATTGAAATCTGCTTCGATGATGCGACAGTCATTTCATCATCATTCTTTCGGGCTCTTTCGCTTCCTTTCGGGTCCTTTCGGGCGAGCATTCACGTACTGTGATGAGTACATATGTTGTTGACATTGAGATGCCATGCGGAACAACGTCAAAGTCTAGTCTTCATTAAACAGCAGTCAGTGCATAGAAACCAAGTCTAGCTCTAGTATGTGGATAACATTACAGTATCTTTTGCAAGATGTTCCATCATGATGAGAATTGGAACCCGTCACACGTACGTACCAAGTTCACTGCTCCAATAGTGCCATCCCACTCGATGCCATGAATCTAGCGGAGCTGGTATATCATGTAAAACGGCTCACACCTTCATATGGAGATGCATGGAATTAGGAGTACTGTATACGGAATACCATCATTTGCACTCTTAGAGGAGAATTAAATAATATTAAAAAAGTGATAACTTTCTTGATATGTGATCCCCATTTGGATAATCCAACCACTTTCTTGTCCTTTGGTGCTCAATCTAAGATTAGACGTAAATTACCGTTTCTATGAAGTGTTCATTTCTTATCCTAAGTTTTAAAGATTGAGAATAAAGGTCAGAGTCGCAGATTATTTGAATATTCACAAAATAAGCATCAGAACGTCCGTTAAGATGAAATTTTCTATGATAAAATTTTTACAACTTCAGTTTGATGGTTATAGCAATTTCCTTTAAAGGTTTCAGTCAATTGAAAATTTTTTGTATTATGACAACTTGAGATTTTAGACTACATATAGTCAAGAAGTTAATACATCGACTATAACTCCTGCAAGCAGAAATTTTAATTCAAGAAATTAATAAAAAAATTATCACGATTGAATATCTCATGATAAAGCAATTCGATAGGATTTAATATAATGACTTTTTGTTTAATAATTTTTCCTACCATGTTTTTTATTTAGGGAGCACCAAAACATATAATTCATGTGAAGGAGTGAGTAATGAAATTTAACCACTTGTTATACATGGGGATCTACAAGGAATTTTTCATTAAGGCGTACATTTTGACATTTAACAGAAAAATTCGTGAATAAAGAAGAAAGTCTTAATGCGATTGAATCTGACTCTGCTGCTTTTGTGCAAAAGGAAAAAGTGACCTTCAAATGACTTCCCGTTTGAAATTTGATTTAGAGCAATCAACTAATAATTTCTAATAATCGCCTTTTTAGCACAACTAAATTTGTTCACTCTAGACCTGTAAAGATGTGTAACTATGTTCATACTACGTAACTCTCATAACTTGATCTTGATCAATGATAAATTAGTTGGTTCTGGATAAGAGCAAAATACCAGAAAGCTAGAGTCTTAGAAGTACACTTGGGAGATAATCAGATGAGCATCATGAATTATGGCTAATTATTAAATGTCCATTAAGTTTCCTGAGTTTTAGAGATTGGAAATTGCAGAAAATTTAATATATTTTATAAATATTTTATAATGTCATGATATCAATACATACCTCTCCCTTACAGAACGAATCATGGTTACATGAGTGGATGGTTATTATTTTCCTTGAAGGTGGCAGACTGATTTGAATGTCTATTGCTTTTAGGGTTATTTAGGGTAAGTTGATGATTATGACGTGATGACATGAAGTCATAGCAACTGCTAAACGTCTCCGCATCATCACGTAAGTGGGCGACTCACAAGAAAACAAAACATTGGGGAGACGAAACTTTCAAATTCAAAGTATAATGGACGTGGCAACGGACATATTCGTAGAATTTGCTCGTTTCACAAAATGGGATTTCAGACTCTGTCAACGTTACAGGCAAAATTCAAGATAAGCTTATCTGTAATTACATTTTATATGATAATCTATATTTTTTACTTCATGGTAAGCTAAAAAGTAATGCACATGAAAATCATATATATGGAGATGAGACTGTTGGATAAGCTATCGTAGCACATGCTACCGATACTATCTTTCTGCTTAAAACATAAAGTGCAGCATGCCATCCAAAGAAAGACTTGTTACAAATGCTAGATTTGCCACATTACAAGAAATCAATTATTTTGCCACATTATAATAATACCTTGGTCTCCTCTACCTCAAGAGCCCCCCTACAGTTCAGATTTGTCGTCGTCCTGGCCCCCTAAACCCAGACTCAGCTTCCTAGGCTTGGCCACGGTCCGGTAACTGTTAACCCGTTCAGAAAAACAGTGGACCGGTTAACCGATAGTTTAACCGGTCCAGGCTTGGCCACGGTCGGGTTGATCTGTATTAAATCTTTATTCTTCTTGATTGGGATGCAAGAGAATATTCAAACTATTAAATTAATATTTTTGAAATTAAATTTATGTAAGAAATCTTCAAATTAAGGTAAGAGTTATTTCATCCAAATAAATATAGAGCCATATTAAGAACATTTAATTTTCGAAATTTTAACATAAAAATTTGAAGATTTCCTATCCAAGTCTTACACGTATGAAAAAAATTAGCTCCTATGGGGCTAGGTCCAAGAGCACCATAATAATGATGATATCATAGGGCACCAAGTGAGTTATAATCATAGTGATAAAAAAATCTACAGACTATAACATATTTCAGATAAGCACAAGCTGATGTAATTGCTCCCATAAAGATTGCATCAACTATTGCTCTTTATAAAGACATGGATAACAAGGACCGATAGAAATGAATAAGACAAGAATCATTTTTGTTGACTGAGTGATAAATTTTAACATAAACTTTCAGGAAATATTTAGTTTAATCTTAGCTTCATAATCTTCAAAAGCTAGGTGACGAAATAGATGATTTTTTTTTGCTTATCTAAGACCGGTTTACCGGTCTCAGAGAAATTTGGGACCGGTTAAACCGCACCGACTATTAACCGGTTAACCGTAGGTCCGGACCGTGGCCAAGCCTACGGCATCTTACGGTCGTGCCCTTTCATGCGTAACTCCGGTTATCCGCAGGTCATGTTCTTATGCGCAGAGATCGAACATCGTTCGTTAGCTTTGTCATGGGACCCGGTGAGTGGGCACTGCCGTGAGGTGGTCATCGTAGCGAGAGGACAACCAAGTATTATAGCCAAAGAGGGACACCCCATCCTTCACATGATCCTTCGCAGGAAGCCAAAGCGTGGACCCAATAGCGTCTCCATGAAAACCATGTCATGTTATATGGTGATTTGATAATGTTGATGTCATCGATCCATTACCAATATAAATTAGCATTTGAAAAATCATCAATGTATCGAGACTGCTCTCATACCAACAACTTATATTATAGTGCTCTGGAACAAATTGTAATCTTTTACCTAATTGTCCATACATGTATGTTAAAAGCAGAAATATCATCTAGCATAGTAAACTTGTTAATGTAATCTCAGCCACTATAAACAACATGGAATCGAGGAGTTACATTTTTCCTTGGCAAAACGGGGGAGGATTATGGAATAGAGAGGCACAATAAGCATGACTCATTGTATAAATCTGTTTACAGTACTAGAGAACGCGAGTCAAAAATATGGAGAGCCGTGCACATATATCGGCATATAGACGGGTTGAAATATCTATATTGTGATATCTCCAAAGCACCACTTTAGAGGTCGGAATTAAAAGTCTTCCCATACACATAAGGCCTGAACTAGATTCGAGACATAGCAAGGCAACTACAAGACGACCTGGATTTAAATGTTCGACGTACGAAGGCGTGGTGCGCGAAAGTGGATAGGGATTGAAGCTTAAAGGAAGAGAAGATTACAACAATATTCCCATGTGGACTGGACCAAGGGTGAAAAATAAGCAATAAGGTAAAAAAAATAAAGGCAAGACGTAGAGATGATGGGGGATGATACACATGATTACTCCATATTCAAAGGTATGAAACGAAAAATAATTAAAAATATCTTATATTTTACAATGATGACATTTCTTGTACTGTTATCTCAAATCTTCATTGTAGAATATTATGAATCTATAACAGTATAAAATAATTTAATTTGGGTCATGTTAACAATTTTTGAACCTACATGCATCTATATGGCTTTCATATTGAAAACACACATTACTCTCCGAATTTGATTATAGGATTAAACTGCTTTTGAATTCTCAACGTAATTGACTTTGACGGGAAATAAAGAGATTTTCTTGGAATGAATTTTGCTTATTTTAGTTATTTATGATTTCAGAAAATAGGATATATTATAATCTTGTATACTTTTAATGTTACTGAATTTTTCAAATAATTTCCAATTTTTCTAATCATGATTTTAAATAACGACGATGATTTGATAACTTATTTTAGAATTCTTCTACTTATATGCATGATTCATGTCGTGTCTGAAAGTTCTCTAAATGCTTCATTTCATATATCGTTTATAAAATTTCTTTTTTATATTATTCATAAAAAATGTACATTTTTTCATGAAATAAGGATGTCTCCATCATAACACAAGTTTACGATTCAGTTATGGCCATTCAATGAATTTCTGTTTAATAACATGCGGGAAAAAAAAAAAACTGACGAGTTTTCCAGGATAACTTGATAAGATGACTTTTAAAGTGGCGAAATTCCTTTTCATAATTTTTGCAGGTTTCACTTGTTCACTGAAGAATGAATGTTGGTGTGCTAGCTATTTCAAAATCCTCAACGGTAACATTTCAAGTCTTCGATATATAGAGAGATGAATCCTAACTTTTATCTTCCACGCCATTGATCACAGCCTTGATTATTTTTCCGTACAATATGCTCTAATAGAGGTTTCAACGGAGTTGATTTACTGTGATATTTCTAATTGATCGAATGAAGGGGTCGTACACCACAGCAGCCTACGTAGGCACATCTCGAATTTTTCTTTGCACAATATTTACCGATTTCCTAATATGTTTTCTT